ATACACTCTGGTGAACGCAAAATTTAGATGAAAGCCTTAAAAGTTTTTGAATTTTCATACGAAAAGGAAGGATATTTAAAGGATAGCGAGCCTCTTTGTAGATTTCAATCGCTTTTACATAAAACTTCAGAGCAGACGATAAATACCGACTGCATTGGTTTTCTTCGTGGAATTCAATCAGAAGGCGGCCACACCACATTAATATCTTGTAAGGTGACCCAACACCACGAAAAAGTTTTTTCAAAATTTCAGTTGATGAAAAATCGTCATCACATGTTGGTACCATTATGGTTTCTATTCGAAAAGAATAACTGGAAAATAATCTCAACCCACCAATATTTTCTTCACTATCTCTCTCCTCATCTTTAGAAAAAACAGTATCCTCTTTTTCAAGCCCGCAACGGCAAATCATTCCATTTGGAGCATTTTCTTTCAGATGGAACGCTTTGTAAACAAGCGAGAAATCGCGATAGTCCACACTTGTGGTAGCCATTGTATGAATAAATTTCCAAAGGAAAAGAAATGTTAAAGACGCTTCGAAATTTCGATTTGGAACTATTTTCATAAATGCTACAACTTGTTACTTCTTGAAAGAAACCACCAGGTGACTGGATACCCGTATTTCAAGTTTTAAGAAAGTCGTTTATTATTATTTGAACCACATGAATGGAAATATGACTTTAGTGTGACATTGACAGTGTGTTCGAAACTTGTAAGAAATGTATTGCCTTCAAGATATGAAATGAATGGTCAGCTGTACCCTCCCCCCCTCAATTAACTAGTAAAGCACTGTAAGATGAGTGCTTGAAAGAAACACCTGCCTGAATAATCTGTTTGAAAGAATACTAGAATAGCGGTTAAAAAAAATTTTTTTTTTTCCGATTTGAAATATGCAAGTCTAACAATCGAGCTTTCTTGGTTGAACTCCATAGTTATAAAAGAAACTCTATTAGCAGCTTTTAATATTCTAACCAAGAAAAAAAAATAATAATTTTGTGCTTAGTGCGAAGAAGGAAATGTTTTAAATTATAAATTTATTCTATTATTAGATCAAAAATCAATGGGGATTTCCACCATCAATTGTCAGAAAGGGTAAAAACCAAAGTGTGGAGAGATCTTCGACAGAACACCATTCCAGACTGGCCGCGCCGCGAAGCGGTGGCTCAGTTTCGACTATATACCGGACATGACTGCCTAGCCGCGCACCTGTTTCGTTTAGGGCTGGCACCTGATCCCTATTGTTCTCTATGCATGAGCCAAGCTGTTTTGGACGGCAGCCACATCCTGTGCTGCAGGGCCCTCCGCGGGTCGTCGTCTACCGAGCGATATTGGGAAGCAAGAGCGCTCCTAAGGAAATGACTTTTTACTTTCTTGTTTTGTTCCTATGTTTTTGCTTTTTCATGTCAATTACCTCTGCCATTTGAAATAAATAAATAAATTTATTCTGGGGTGTATGGTCATGCTGAAAATGAATAAAATATACTGAATAATGGTTTTCAAAAAAGAACTGTAAGGATTTAGAATAGTTATCAGAAATATATAACTCTTTTTTCTTGAATTTAGTTACTTTATTTTGAATTCAAGAAGAAAAAAAAAGGGGTTTAAATGCTTTTATTGATTAGCTAATTGAAGCTTATGATTAGTGATTAGTTTATTGATTTTTTTTATAAATGACCCTTCTTATAATTTATTCCGTGTTTTTTTTATCACTAAAGTTTATATAAACAACTGAAATATTAAATAAATTATGAATTATTTGCTTGGTTACATTTTATAACCTTCATTGAACATCCGATCCATTTTTTGGGGTTTACGACTAGTACTTATGTTCTACTCCGTCGGCTTGTAATTTTAAACCCAATCCAAAAGACAAGGGTACTTCTAGATTAAGTACAGGAAGAAATTTGCCTTCTTGGAGGACTTTGTGATGGAACTAAACCGCATTTGCGTTACATGGAGAGGAAAACCACGAAAACATCATACAGTTAGCCCGATGCAAGAGGACTGACTCTAACCCATGATCCGTCTACCACTGAGGATATTTTATATCAGTGCTGTGGTCGGTGCAAGCTGGAGGCGAAATTCGTATCAAGCAGCCATTGCTGGGATTCAAACCTGGCTCACCTCATTGATATCAAACGCTCTCTCCCCTGAGCCATTATAGCTCATTGAATGGATATAAATATAATTACTGGTAAAAAAAAATCCTAACTTATGAAGCTTCAGTAATATTTCCTCAGTACTCTAAAGTCTAACTTTCGGAAACCGCTTTAACCGAAAAGTAAATCATCCGTTCAGAAACCGAAAAGTAAATCATAATGTTTGGAATGATTATGAATACTTAATTTGGACGATATTAAAACTGCCTAAACATATTTTAGTTGAAAATTTAATTTTGACTTTTGACCAAAGATCATGGTCTTCTGGCTCACTGTGCATATGAACAAATTTTTGATTCCTCGTCAAATTGTATACGAAAATAATGCTTCGAAGTACATATGAGGTGAAATATCTTTTAAGGTGAACTTGAATTTCATTAGAATGGGGAAGATAACGATAATAGATAACTTATTTTCACACTGACAGGTAAGAAACAACTCACAATCAATAGGAGTATATTCCACATGCTTTGTTATAATGTTGATATTGTTATCAAGCAAAAGAGTTGGGTGGAATCTGTTCTGACATGACTAAAACAATGTTCTCATTCATAAATTAGACAATAAAATAACCCTTTTTAACTTTAAAATGAATCACTTGTTCTGTCAGGGTGATATTTGCATTTGAATATAAAGAAGCACGTATTCTCTAATAAAATAATATATTCCATATCCCTTGTCCAATATGGTTGGTCAGTTCTCCCTTATTCTCAAAATGTATTTTTTTTCAAATTTTTTTTTAACCGTCGTTGAACAGTCGACCTAAATTTGGGTTTACGACTACTAACGTTCAACTCCTTAGCCTTGTAATTTTAAACCCAATCCAGAAGACAAGGGAACTCCAGGATCAAGTATTGGGAGAACGTTACATGTACACATGGAGAACGTTACATGTAGAGGAAGACCACGAGAACTTCCCCCGGTTGGCATGGCGGCAAGGGAACTCTAACCCATGATTCGTCTACCACTGAGGATATTTCACGTCAGCACTGTGGTCAGTGCAAGATGGATGCGGAATTCGTATCGACTAGCCATCGCTGGGATTCGAACCCGGTTCACTTCAAGGAAGGCAAACGCTCTTTCCCCTGAGCTATCTCGGCTCTCAAAATTTATTCTGAGAAATTACTGATTCCCACATTTCTACAAATGAAAACTAAAACAAACGGAAACTTTCCAAGCTACATTCGTTTTAAAAATTGACATATCTATTCTTTTTTTGTTGAAATGTACAAATTTAGAAGCAGGAAAAAGAGCAAATGCTGCGACAAACTGCTAGGAAAGTTAGAGCACATCATCCGGATTAAAACTGCCTATGAACTCATGTTCGGAATTATCATCATACGCCACTAGAGGCACTTTCCCGTTATGTACTGTCTCCGTAAGCTTCTGAACAGTTCATAATAAGAAAGCGCCTCTAACCGCTTACTCTGACATTTCAGGGCATGCATGGGCTTCTATGCAATTTTAATCCTGATGATGGGCCTTTACTTCCTTAAATTTCGTCGCAGCATGTACGTGATCCTCTGTTTTTAAGCATTTCATTCAACAAAAACTGGACTAAAAATTTCATTTTTTTAAAGAAAAACTGCAGCTTTAGAAGCAAAACTCACTTTAGATTTGAAATCCTCACACCCGAATTTTGTAAGAACAAATGTTTGTATAAATGCAACATAAAATTTGGAGTTCTGGTGCAACAATTCACAGAAAAATATAAAATTTTTATCCCATACATATTTTTCATTATGAGAATAGTAAAAAAAAAAGTAATAGAACTCTAATATTAGAATTTTAAAAAAAAGTTTACAAAATTGAAACTTATTGTCAAAATTACACAAAAAATATTTAGTTTAAGAATCTAGAAAAATTAATTTAGAAATGCACTGAACTCTCGTTACTACGATATCCGATACAACAATAACTCCCTATATTACAATTATGCTTCGTGGTCCCGACGAACTTGCATATGATTTAATGTTAGCCACCCCTCAATATTGCGATATTCTCTGACGCAATAAACTCCTGCAAAACTATTTTTTCCCTTCAAATTTTAACCTTATTTTCTTCATTTATAATTAGCTTTCAAATAATGTAAAAAATCTTATTTTATCATATTTTGTCACTTTTCCCCCATCTTTTCTGACAAGAGAAAAATCACTGCTGATTATGTACTTATCTTGTTTCTTGTCACCTCAGTGAATGGCTTTCACCACAGTCAATACCCCATCCTTAATGTGCATGGACCACCCCAACACTTTCCATTCTTAGAATTGCCTCCCTTATCTTTTAAGAAGTCACAGATGTAACATTCCTATCTGATTTCATATTTAACCATAATTACTAGAGGCCGGATTTTGATGACCTAAAAAATCTCAACTAATGCCCTTAAGTGCAAAAAATGCCCTTAAAAAGGGCAAAAAATGCCCTTAAAAATGCAAANTCTGACAAGAGAAAAATCACTGCTGATTATGTACTTATCTTGTTTCTTGTCACCTCAGTGAATGGCTTTCACCACAGTCAATACCCCATCCTTCATGTGCATAGACCACCCCAAGACTTTCCATTCTTAGAATTGCCTCCCTTATCTTTTAAGAAGTCACAGATGTAGCATTCCTATCTGATTTCATATTTAACCATAATTACCATTCATCAAATTAAATTTTTATGTAATATATAAATAGAATTATAGCTATTACATATATAACGTTGAAAATAAAAGAAATCATATTGTGTCCCCAAACTATGTAGGCTCTTGATATAATATTATATATCTCTACAATATATATATTTATTTGGTCCCCAAAATATTGTTGTAGGGAGGTTTTACTGTATTTTATCAGAAACCATATCACATTTCTCAACTAAGTTACTAGAGATAAAGCTTATCTTAACCATATTTCTTATATTACATTGTTAGTCATACATAAAGCATATCTTAACGTATTATAATGCATGTTCCAACATTTATTGTCGTCAAAAGGACGTGAACCAGATTTTAGTATATAGAGGTCACCTCCTCGATATCTCTTGGTTTAGTAGTCTAAATAGTGTTTAGTAGTGTTCTAAATTTAAAATTAGCGTTGAATTAGCCGTAGATCATAATTTAGTGAATAAATCTTAAAATATATGAAGTAATCCTACTCCAAATCTATTCAGAAAATTGTATGAATTATGTGTTCATCAAGTTTAAATTATCGCGATTTTTTGCTACTTCTTAAATCCTTACAATTGAAAGAAACTCCTGATGAAACAATATGTTGTTGCAATCTTAAAGAAGAGGATATTAATTTCTACGAGGAAGAAACATCTGTTGAAAGATATCAGAATATTATAACACCCGATAATAGATTTGTGACATCTTTTAAACTAGATTGCATTATTAAACCTATAATTGATGAGGATGCAACATCAGCTGATAAGTTAAAAAAGGTATTTAAAGATACGTCTCCTTCCTTAGCCTTAAAGTGGTGTGGTCGATTTCTTATAAGGTTTCACGAAAAAAACCAGTGTACAAAGTTTTTAACGTCTGCAATGAAGTTTTATTTAAAATCAATGGAAGCGGTGAAGAGGGCTTACTTCCACTATAATGTTTCCGTTGATGAGAAAGTTCTAGAATTTTTGAGACTTGCTTGTAAACACCGCCTTCCCAACAGCGTGTTTTTCGAAATTCTGAGGGTGTTTTACATAACGGATGACTACTATTTATTAGGCCATTCTTTCGAATATACTCCAATCTTAGAAGATATATTGAAAATAACACAGGATTTCAACATCGATATATTGCATGTGTGGAAAACAGAAGAGGAGATATGGCGGAAATCAGAAGAATGGAGAAGGTCATACAAATCGTTCTATTCTTCTTTATTCGAAAATGTTCAAAATTTTATACCTTTAATAAGATTCGGAAAAATGCAGTGCTTTTCTATAGAAAGTTATAGTTACTTGAAGTCATCTATGGATAAGTAAGTGGAATTTCTGATTATTTTTGTTCTATTAAATGTATTGTTTATGGATGGTGCTTCCCATACGAACGTAAACAAAAACAGATCTCGAGCTCTTTACCTTTACAACTTCCGGCTAGAAAGTTTACAGCTGCCTACTACAGCTTATTGTGCGAGACGTTATTTTCAAAGAGCTAATTTTGTTTTCTATAGTACAAGTAAGTAATGTAATTTCTGAACTTAAATCTTATGCATTTTATAGATATATTTTATATTTTATAGATATATCTTATGCATTAGATTATAGATATATTTTTATAGATACATTTTATAGTAGCGAAGGCGAGTTTATTTTGCTAATTATCATTTAAATTTAGACTTTGAAGTTTATTGTTGATAAGGCAAAAAATGTTTTATGACGATTCTTTTCTAATACTAGGTTTTTATTACCGCTCAAACCATATGCTGACTATCTTTTCGCCTCTTATTATTATATAACCGCTTGTACTCTTTTCACTATTTACTGTATCACAGTGGTCTCAAAATACATCAGATACAGTTACATGGAAATACGGGCGGTAAAATACCTACAGCACTTCCGGTCAATGTCGAAAAATACAAAAAATCTTTATTTAATTTTCGGATTTATTTCAAAAATGCTGTAGTAACGGAAATGGAGATTTACGGAAGTTAACACGTGATATTTTTTTAAGTAGTTTAATTCAATACTAGGAATGTCTACACCGATACTTCCACGTGTGATTCTGCTTCCACACTCAATTTTTTAAAATGATAAACGAGTACTTCTGCAAAGGGGGGGGGGGCTATAATGTTAACAGCTGCTAATTCTGAATTCTGCTGATGTTAATGTAATATGCGCTAATTATATTCACTACTTATAAAATATACTTTTATTTTTAAATGATATAAAAGTAATATTTCTTTTTTATTTTGTTTAAAACATCATGTTACGTTTTACTTTCTTTAAAACATCACGGCCCCGTTCTAGAGACCCCCCCTCATTTATGTGGGCCCTCGAAATGTTTAAATAATTTCCGTGTGTTTATCTATAAGAATTGTCTATTTCTCTTGTTGTCGTCGGCCATTAAGGCAGAGGGGTTGCGATTGTTCTTGTTTTCCAGTGGCGCCATCTATGGCCAAGAATTCGACTTCAGTCCCACGCATACGTCAAACCCGTTTTATAGGGCGGACCCGTTCACACATCCAATCATTCATCCACAGATCGTAATATTGACCTGAAACCAGAGAGCGATCAATCTACTATGCAGTACCCCCAGAGAAATAATTTGTAATGGGAGCATAGAGGAGTTTGTGACCCGACAGATTTAACAAGCATCAATCACTATTTATTACGCGGGAAGTCTTTTACCGGCTGGATTAGAACTCCCATTCGAACGCGAGTCCATCGCCCTGCTAACCAGGCTATCCCAGCTCAGAATTGTCCATTCGAACAAATTGACTATTAGAATTAACAAAAATTGAAATATATATAAACACAAATTTAATAATATATCAAAATTTACTTTGATGTATAACGTTTAAAGGCATTTTCCAATGCATTGTAAATTTGAGGATCAATGAGGCCCCAACAGTTCTGTGAATAGATTTCTATATCAGGCCCTGCATTATACTATCTTAAACATATAAATTTATAAGATAAAGCTATGTGTGTTGGGTATGTTACATTTTCTGATATTGCTAGATTTTACGAGCGAAAAAAAAGGTATTTTATTACAGAAATATTTCACAATATGAGAAAATTCTTAAATAGTTGAAAAATTATTCTAAAGAATTATTCCAAAGCAGCATAAATAATAATTTAAGAGCATTTCTTATTCCATAATTTGTTAAAAATTTAACGTGGTTCTGTATGTCATTTTTTAGGGACATACATCAAAATACTAAATAGCTTTTCTCTAAAACTGTTTCACTTAATAATAAAACTTATCTGTTGGTGCCATTTATAGTCTCTAGTCAAATTATTAGATGCTCTTTAAGATTCTACGTAAAATCTTAATTATCAGGTGATGTTATACAGCTTTATAGTTTTTAAGAAACTGAAGCTGTTTTGCACTTGTTTACTTCCGTGTATGAATAGGTCTAATTGGGTGATATATAATATAAATTCGACCATTGGGTAAATAAGACCGTATATTATATAAATATATAATATTTATTATATCAGGTTTTATATTATTATATAGTAATACGTAGATCAAATTATTAGACACGGTGTAGTTTTTTAATACTTACATGTTTTGCACGAAATTATATGCAATACTTTTATATTTAAACATACATGTAATAGGTTTTTATACAGGAGATCTTTATAAATTTCCTATTTGTATTTATTTTTAAAGTATTGCATTACAATGTTAACCAATTCATACAAGAACGTTAAAAAGTGCAAACCGGTTTCAGTTGCGTAAAAACAATAAAGCTGTACAGTATCACCTGATAATTAAGATTTTACATACAGTGCGTCTAATAATTTGAACAGGGACTGTAAGCATACTGTCAAGTATTTTTATTAGTAAACATCTAGACACTATTTTTATAGGAATTTTTTATTTGGTTTGTTACATTGGCTTTGATAATAAATGTTCATAATTGGCCCATTTGGTTCGAAAAAAAATTGTTCAAAGATATTTATAGTAAACTTATGCAATAATTTATACTAATTTCTGTAACTAGAAATAATTATAAATTTATTTACCTAAAATTTTTCCTAATTTTTTATTTTACGAACGCGAATTTCGTTTCCGATTTCATTGTGAAAAAATTGAAACCTAAACTTACCATAACAATTTAAAAATATAATTTTTTGTATATTTAAAAGCTTATTAAATATTTTACATCCGAGAAATTATTTAACATTAGTGCAAAAAATCAATTCATTCTATTAATTGAAATTTCCAACAACTATTTCGAATTCATTATTTTTATTGCATAGATTAATTGAGCATAGTTTACAAAAAATTTATTACAAAAGTAAATAGAATTGATTTAAAAAAAAATACAACTCATTAATCGTTGAATAATTATAAACAATGTAAAGCATTCCTTTAAAAGCCAGATTGATTTCGTTTAAGTTTTTAATTTAGCCATGTAAAATTACAATCTTTAAAATGTAAACAATTGTATACCTTACGTTTCGATTCAAAATTTTTACAACTGTTATGAAATAAAACAATAAAAAATAATAAACAGTAATAAATATTGACTAAAAGTTATTTTTTCCAAGGAATTATCTTTGGATAAGCGAATTTTATTATTGTGTGAAAACATTTTTAAATTCGACAATTCAACAACAGTTTTCAACAAAATTCAACAGTTCTCGAGTTATGGTAAAATACGCAAAAGTAAAATTAACATTAAGGGACTTGAACTTTGGACCTATTTCCTGACCAAACTGTTGGGACCATATTTCGGCTACCACTTATCTTTTGGGTGAAAGATGTACATCGAAAAAAATATTTATTTATTCCGAGAAAATAATACATTTTTGAGTCTGATTTCATCCCTTAAAATATGGCCTGCACTAAATAAATAGCATTTTCGAGGTCACCTTTTCGAGCCATTAAGATTGTTGTTGTTGTAGCTCATTTACGTCACACTAGAGCTGCACAATGGGCTATTGGTGACAGTAAGATTTAGTCCTAGAACATGAAGATCTGATCATTAGATCAAAAGTTATTCAGGGTGATCTATTTATTTACTTTTTGTCTCTGTGTATATATATCGCTGCAAATTTTTGTTTCTGTAGATTAATATCAGCGTTGAAAATTACTACTAACTTCTGTTAGCTTATTCAGATTGTAAACAAACCACTCGTGGTATTCTACTTGACGTTTGCGGGTGGGTAACCACTTGGATCAGTCTGCGTAGGGACCGAGGGTCTGCGGTATTGGTCCTCATTAAACTGTGCTACCGTAAAGTGCTCGACTTCTCGCGCAGGTCGCCGGGCTACCGAAGCGGGGGTGCCATCCCCTCCGCAGAGGATCAAATTTGTGATGGCATGTCTTCGGATCATCCTCCGGGATGTTTCCCAGACCGTCGCCAATAGCCCATTGTGCAGCTCTAGTGCGACGTAGATTAACAACAACAATCTATTTGACGTTTTTTGATATTCAAAGCTCGCCAACTGCAAACCTTTGAGAGAAAATATTTTTCTTATGGAGTGAAAGCTTGGCTGTTTGATGCAAGATTATTCAATTTTTGGTGTTTGGCTTTAAATTACACCATTTACATTGCATATAAACTCTCACTTTAGTTTTAATCCAAAATAAAACAGTGTATTTATGCTATAAAGGTGCGGTCTTATCCTCTATGTTATTTCAAATGCAAAATTCGGTACCGTCATGTGGGGCTACTTTGTGCAAGATTTCGCCGTTTTTGAACTTTGATATGTAAAAAAACTATGTTAATTCAAACTTAAGTAAAATTTATTGATATTATATTCATAACTGGACTCAGACGAGTGAATTTGATCAATATTGGCATTATTTGTATGTAATATTTACAAATAATAAGTCAAAACATACCTTGCACAAAGTAGCCCCCAAGTGGGGCTACTTTGTGCAGCGATAGGAATTCAGTTTAATAATCATGCTTTTAGTAAAATATTGATATAAAGTTGTTAAAAAAGTTAATTGTTGACATTTTTAATAAAAAAACATCAAGATATCTAAAGATATTAGTTTGAAAATAATTTTCAGCGTTAAAAAACCATTTTTTATAAAGAATTTTTTCTTAAAAAGAATGTTTTTTTCAAAACATTTGAGTTTAAACAAAACAAAACCATATACATTTTTGAACATTGAAATAGATGAAATTTCAAAAATAATAATTATTACATATTCATTAACATTTATAATATTGATAAGTTTGAACATAACATGCTTGAATGAACGTGACAGAACTTGCTCTTCAGTTTCTGTCAAAATCACCTGATGCCCTATAAAATATATTTTTATGTGTTAAATCGTTTGATTAATTCATTAGAAAAATCTTTGCAGATGAAAAATAACAGTTTACCAGCACGTTTCACGTGTTTCTTGTGAATTTTATTCAAGATAGTATTTCTGTGGATTTTGTACTTCCGAGAAGCTTCTGTAATCGACATACCACCAACAGCTGCTTGCAAACATTGTTGCAGTTTTTCTAAAGTGTAATCACGGTAGTTTCTCGTTCCAGGTATTTTTTTTATAACATCTGACCATTTTTCTGTCGAAAAAAAAGCGAATGAAATTTTGCACAAAGTAGCGCCATAGTGCACCTTTTTTTCATTTTCTGTTTATTTGTTATTAATTTTCAAAATTTTTTTAACGATAACATGATATAATTGTTTATTAATATATAAATGAAAAATTTTGCACTTACGGCAATTGTTTTATCAACGTCTTTGCATTTCACAGCTAAAGTTTCTACGCACATTTTTCGACGTCCGACGCTCTCGGAAAGTTGTTGGCATTGGATAAGCAAAACACACTCTGAGATTGTTTTAAAATTCGAAAAAATGTTTGTAGTAATAGAGGAGACTTCTATCTTCAAATAACACACATTTTTAACGTGAAAGAAACATAATACTGAATAGCAGCACTTGAAAGGTGCCAAATTCGAATTTGCACAAAGTTGCCCCCGCTGCACAAAGTAGCCCCACATGACGGTACTTGCACTTCAAGAAGAAGATAGCGCTGTTGCAGTTATTTACGTCACACTAGTACTGCACAATTGGCTATTGCCGATGGTCTGGTCTGGCCTTAGGATGATCCGAAGACATGCAATCACAATTTAGATCCTCTGCAGAGGATATGGTACCTCGCTACGGTAGTCCGACGACTTGAGCAGGAAGTCGAGCACTTTACTATTTTTAAATGGCAAAATGCAAAATTTGAACAAAATATACTGAATAGAAATAAAATTTTAGATATATGACTTTTTTCAACTAAACGTTTTCTAAATTTGATAACCAACAATTTATTAGACTGATTTTATATTTATATTGATTCGATATTGATATTCGTGCATTTTATATAAGGTACATTTAAAATCACCTACTTTAAAATCATGTCAAAATTTGTGTGTCTCAAAATTCAAGATTTTTCGACTGTTATTAAATAAAGTAATAAAAAAATTAATATTAGGGGTACCGGAAAATAATATCTCTTCGGAGTATTTGATATTTGTTATCAAGATTTTATTTTTAATCAATCATGTATTCACCCCCGTTAGCAACAACCTTTCAATGCCGGATCAAAAATGAATTGGTTTTTAAGACTAGCCAATACTTAATGCGTCAAAACGACATTACTTACAAATTTTGTAATTGCTTATGAGAATTTTTCAATACTCTTAAAAAGTTCGAGATATGGAGAAATACATAGAAAGTAAAATTAAAAGGTACAAACTTTGGACCGCCCCACAGACCAAACTATCGATACCTGTCGATAGCGGCTAGCTACCTTTATTTTGAGGGTCAAGAATCGAAATTCATTAAAAAAAGGTGTGTTTATTTAGAGAAAGTAAGTTAGCCAAGTTTCTCTACATAACTAATTAATAATGATAATTAACGTTAAGTTGCCGACCGGTCTGTGTAGGAGGTAGGGAACTGTCCTTGCATCAGAAAGGTCCTGGGTTCGAATCCCGGGCAAGGCATGGATGTTTCTTTCTCTCTCTGTCCTTTCTCCTTTGTGCGTGAATGTGACCCGCCCTATAAACGGGTTGTGGTCGTGTGAATGGCGTGGTAGAAGTCGAATTCCTGGTCATAGATGGCGCCACTGAAAAACAGGAACAATCGCACCCCCACTGCCTAAACAGGTATACGACAAAAAAAAGTTAGCTAAGTTTCTCTACAAAACTTAAAATGATAATTAACGTTAAGTTAATTAAATAGAGAGTCGTATGGCACACCGAATTTGTTAAAACCAAAGTCCTTCTAGTCTACTTCTTTTACTTAACTAAGATTTATTATTTGTTTATGTATTTTATTGTAACCGAGATATATTTTTGTTTTGTGTGTCTGGCAATCTCGATGCATGATAAGTGTTTATGTTCTACGTGACTTCCCGGTCTTTGTCGTAAGTCTTCCTGTAAATCTACAGATTTAGTGTGTAAAACTTCGTGTAAATCTATAGATCTTTGTGAAAGAATCTTTGTACAAGAATATCGGCTGTGTTACTCAAGAGAAGTGATACTTGACAGGCTTGGCTCACTCGAAATAGAAAGGAAATAGTAGTTGTTAACGTAACCAAATGTCACGTTTCAGCAACCAATCAGGATCGAGACACCCACATTACGTCACTTGCAGGTGTCACGTTATACATAATCTTCTATATCATTGAAGGCAAATGACACCTATTCCTATATGGCATAGTCTGTCGTAGCTTGCGACATCTACCGACAGTTATTGGCGTTATTTTTTTAATTCATTTCCTGTCAAATATTGCTTTTTTGGTGCCTGTAAGTATTTTGTATAAATTATGTGCTTTTTTTCTATTGTCTCCAATAGGTACCTCAACACAATAGCGGTAGAAAACGATTATAGCATTACAACTTTCCGCTCCCTTCAAATCCTACACTCCTTTTTTTCTGCTCGTTACAAGTTCTGTTTTCCAACGACTGCAGCCTACTCACTGAATCTATTGTGGAACAGCATTACAGATCCGTTCTTGCGTCAAGAGGACTTCGAAAGAAGTTTGATTCCAAAATCTGCGGTGGACATGTTTACACTGGAACAAACCTGGTCCTGGTATAGTGACCATGTACTGAAAAATGAAATCTGCACCAAAGAGCCAAGATCCCTATTTCATCTTTCAAGGTGTTCCGTTCGCCGCCAATTGGCGGTATGTCTCCAACTACCCTGTGGTGTTGAAAAACTTTTTGTCCCCAAGAGTGTGAAAGAGTATATTCTTTTGGAACATTGTAATGATTTTCTAACTTTATGTTGATGACATGAAAAAATATTCATGAAAATGAATCATTTACTTCATTTCATAGCTAGTATTAAACTATCGGATTAATGTTTATTTTGTACTGTTGAAACTGACGTTGAAAACGATAGAACTTCTTGTTTAGCAATTATTTTATTTCATATTTTATTTTATTATCGGCGTTGAACATCCGACCCACATGGGTTTACTATAGGCAATGTTAAAATTCATAGCCTTATTGGAATCCAACCCAGAAAACAAGGGAATTTTCAGATCAAGCATTTTGCTCAGTCTGTCAGTCTCAGTCAGTCAGACTCTTTGCCTCAGTAGAGGATTTTTTAAGTGGAGGATGCAACTTTGTTGTATTAAATAGTTTTTTGTTCTTTAACACTTTCTCTTAACTCAAATTAAGCAAACAATAAAGGAAGTCAGTCACTTGTAAATCTCATCAACTTATTAAGTTTCATAATTTTCAGTTTTAACATCTATATTTCAACCTCTATAGAACTCTACTTTAACTTATAAAAGTGATATTAACTTATATGATTTGTAAGTCATAGCTAAGGACTTTTCTAGAATCAAAATCAAATTCGTATATTGTACTAGATTTATACTTAAGAGCAAAAATAGCACTGTGCACTATAAGGTATTACTATAATTTTATAAAATATTACTTTAAATAAAAGTTTAAAGGCAAGTTAATTTATACATTATCTCGCGGTTTGTTTTGGCTTAAAACATCAAACTACCGATTTGATTTTGCATTTGTTGAATTTTCGCCATCTTTTCGAGTAAGAACCCGCGCACCTCTTCACCTCTTTGGAAAATTGCTGATCTATAGACACTAAATAGTTTCTATTAAAAGTATTCTAAATGTAACATGCATTTTTCATAGTATTTAAAAGGAGAATAACATTGAGTTGTTCGCAGATGATCATTACATAAAACTTCTAATTTTGAATTGAAATTAGACAAACTTGCATGCAAATGACTTGTTCAAACTATAGACAGACATTAGGGAAGCTTACTCGCGTTTACACATTGCACTTACAGCTCTCACGCATTAAACTTCTTCTGTAGCTCTACAGCCTGTTTCAAACCAAGTCTGTCTTCTATCGGAAATTATCCGCTGTTACAGTTCTCTATCGGTTGAACCGAATTTCACGTAAAGTTTTTTTCCTTCAACTATTTTAAGCTATCTAGTGCACTGTTTATCTCTTTTTCTTTAACATCTTTGAAATTTAACTTTAGTTTAAATCACTGTATCTTTAGATTTGTTCAAACCAAGTAGATATGTCTAAACCATATACCTTTATAGTTTTCACAATATTTGGTTCTCTGGATTTTGAGACCAGTTCAATATTAGAACTCCAGACATTATTTTCGCTGTCAGCAACAAATATTTTCCTTAGTATTTTTCGTTCAAATAGTAGTAACTTAATTTCGTACAATCCCCGGATTCGAAAACTTCTGGAGTATTTTAAGCGTTTCCTGATTTAACTTGTCAAAGTGTTGCTCTATAGAACAGCTTGGTAATTGAAACGTCTAATTATTTAGATTTCACTTGGGTTTGTTGTAAACTACGGTGGGAACAATTCATAAGTCCATCAGTCTAATAAAATAGTGCAATATCAAAAGCAATGTCTTTACATAAATTGTAGAAAGATCTATCGAATAGCTTAACACTAGAAAGACTGAAACTTAGTAGGGTAAACCAACCAGTGAAGGAACACTACCCAGTGAAGGAACATTTCATATATATTGATTAAAAATAGAAATTTGAAAGTTTTTCTTTAGATTGATTGGTAACAATAGCTTACTGCCAAACAAAAGGTAGTCATCTAGCAATGTTTTGAATTACCTGGTCAAATAGACTTCTCTGGAAAAAAAATTTGAATTTGTTATTATCTCTGCAACACCTTGCTTCTTTGAAAAAATTATAAGGTGAGTGTTTGTATTTATATGTTTGAAGTGGAATTAATTGCATGCAATAGTTTTATTTTTCTCACTGTGAAAAAGAGAATTCAAAATATAGTTATTGAAGTTACGTTTTATTTTTTTAAGCATCATAGCATAATAAAGTACTGAGATAAGGGGGTGTTTATTCACTGGATTCCCAAACGATAAAAAACCAGTGAAGGAACAAGTGTTCCTTTACTGGTTTTGTTTTCTAAGTTAATGAAAATAAAAAACAAACTTTAATTTTCTTGTACCTTTAGTGATGTTCCGCATCAAAAGTATGTTAAAAATACGAAAAACAACTTCTAACCAGTGAGGGAACAGGCATGTTCCTTTACTGGGCATAGATTTCCCAGTGAATGAACAGTATGTGTTAATATGTTGACACTTTAATTGACTAAAAAAAAGTTAACATTTTCCAAGTATTTATATGTTATAATTTCAGGAAAAGGCTTGTTTTTAAATATTTGTATGGCTTATAAATTCATAAAGAGCATTAGAAAATGACCAAAATTGTTTCTTTACTGGGTGTTCATTCACTGGTAAGAGCTGTTCCTTCGCTTGGTCTTCTTACTACTTGTTATTTGAACCTCCAAAACTTTAAAACAATATTATGTAAGTTCTCTACAATTTTTTTACATAATTTGTAATTAGTAACAAATGTGTTGACACTGTCATTTAACTAAAATTACAAATTTTGAAATTAATATGATTTTTTAAAAGGCAAGCGAAGCTTAAGTGTTCCTTCACTGGTTAGTTTACCCTATATACCTATATCGCACAAAAGCAGTCAAAATGACAGGATTGTGAAAGAATAACTAATGTGTAAAGAAATTTGTTTAAAATTAATTTTTAACATTTTTTATATTATTTACAGTTACATAACAAGCTATTAGTAAATATTAACACTAAAAAAATTTATGTTGCATAAAAAGTCACAACATTCTAAGAAATTGTGTCATTATATACATCGTTGTTTTTCTAATTGAAATTAAAAAGCAGTCAAAATGACTTCCTTGGGCAATCTAGTGTTAATATCTGAGATTCTGTATAAAAATAACACTCACTGCAACCGAGTGCACAAGAGAAATGAATCATTAATTCGTATTTATCAACTTAACAAGAGCTTTTCTTTTTTTTTGAAATTCCCATTTGTTCGAAAATTATTGCAATTTTAGATCTCATTTTTGCTTTTCATAACTTTACGTAACATTTTGCTTTCCTGTAATTTTAATAAAAATCAAAGTTTTTTCCATTATTGTATAGATATTTTATTTAGTCTTATATTTGTGACTTTTGCATTTTAATTATGCGAAGTTTTAGAGGTAAACAATGGGAATACATACCTGCCAACTCTTCCGGATTTTCCGGAAGATTTTATTTTCATATTTAAAGTGGTAGTAAATATATACTATTTTTTCTTTTATAAACTTAATTGTTAAATGATTTTGATCACCAATATTCTTACAAAAATGAAGCACATATATTAAAATGCGTTACTATCATGGTTGTCAACTTAAGTTTTTTCAAATGCAGCGTATTTGTTGGCTTAAAATTGAAGTTTTAAATCCATTTTAATACCACTGGGGAAAATGATAATGGAAGGGATTAAAAGTTGGCAGGTATGGGAATATATATTTTTTAAATACAGGATAGAACAAATAAGTTATTGAATTGGCGGTTAAGTTTTTTGTTTTGTTTACATATTTACCACCCGCATGTCATTGTTTTTAACGTAATGTTTTAGATCATTTAAAAGAGTTTGTTTGGAACGTTTTGTTATTGAATTATTTATGTTAATTAGCAGATAATAAAATGAAATCTGAAGTTGGGAAAACAAAAGAATTTGACACCTTTTTATTTGAATATTTTCAAAAACTGCTCAGGACATTTATTGTGCTGTTACAAACCAACTTTTGCACAAAAAGAGTCAAGCGATAAAATAACTGGTAAAGAGAAAGAAATGCTCCCACTCTTCAAGCTTGTAAAAGTTAAAAAAAAAAAAAAAAAAAAAGCTGAAATTTAGTTGCTAACTAAATTCTAAAAATTTGGAGCTTTCCTTTCAGTCTGCTTTGCTTTGAATTTTCAAATTGTTGATTATTTTTTAACGACCGGTGAAATAAATGATCACAAAAATGGATAAATCAAACCATCATCTTTCTAATTTTTAATCATTAAAACATATTTACAGATTATTAAATGATTTTTATTAAAATGATGCATCATGAAAAAAGATTTCGCATAAACCATCTATTTTTTTACATTAAAAAATATTGTCACATAATAAAAGGATTATTCTTTTTAAAATGATACATTATATGAATATGCTTAAGCCACCAACCGTCGAATTTTTAATCATTAAAGCATATTTTCATTTGCTAATCTTCTATGTTCTCACATTAAAAAATTATTTTTTTTTATATGATGCATCATAAAAAAAGGCTTCTAAGCAATTCAGACAAATAGTGGTGGCTTATGTATGTCAGACGATAATAAAACCTTATGTCACAGCTATGAGATTAAAAGTCATCAACTGAACACAAAGAAGGATGAAATGCAGTTTTTTAAAAGAATATAGTTCTTTAACTCGGCTGATACACCAGGCAATCTTTCAACACCAGATGGAAGTTGGAGACACCAGGCCATTTGGTCTCTCACAGAGCACCTTGAGAGGTGACGTAGGGACCTGGGATTTTTCACGTAATCTTTCATATCTCCTAAGACATGAAACTCATACCAAGTCCAGGCATCTCTCAGTACAGTCTTCTCTTTTGCACATTCTGGAAGAAAACTGTTCTGAAATTCCTCTCGAGTCAAGTAAGGGTCTGTTATGCTACTCCAGAACAGTTTCAATACATACTCTGCAGCAAAAGGGAGAGACATTCTGAAATAGTCAGTAAGATACAAGTGCAGAACTTGGAGCGAACGCACAATTAACGGGTCGAACTTTCGAACAGTCGCTATGTGTGCAGGAAGCCTGTAAAAATAGGGTACAGGTAATAAACAAAATAAAAATAGACAGTGAGTAATAATTTGATTTATATCATCGTCAGAGTTAGGATTTTGATGATTTTTGAAAATTCTTAAAATGCTATTAGAACTTGAAAGTAAGCTTCTAAAAACTGTCAAGATTCGGTTGTCAAAATAATGAAACAGAAATCGATTCTAGTTAGAAGAAATGCTGCAATTGCTTAGTGCGTAGTTGAAAATGATAGGAAAGCATGATGAAAAAGTCATCTTTGAACTTACAAAGAGCTTTTATTGGTGATTTTTTTTTAACAGCGGGAGTTGAGATTTGGAGAGCTTCGGGCAGACAGAAAAAAGGTTATTTAAAGAATTTTTGACCACGAGTTTTGTCGAAATTGGAGTGTAATTTGCTATTACTTTTTTCTTTATCAAATGAAATATATTTTTTAAAAATTTAATCACCGTTCTTCATAAATTATTCATCTGCCAACATAATTATTAAGTATTCTGTTGAAATGAGGAAATCCGCTACAAATTAAATCAAAAATGTCCTTAGCAGACAGACGGTGGAAATCCTGGCAATAGTTAGTTGTAACTGTTAAAAAATAAAAGCGTGGCCAGCTTATATTAGACCCCGGTCAGCAAAGTGTTTAAAAAAACATAATGTACATAAAAATTTCTACGTACATGTTTTATATTAGATATCCTATGTAAAACTAAATTATCACTTGTAATTTGTATTTAAACATTAAAAAAATTAAAATAAATACGCAATTTATGAATAAAATAAAACGTAAATAAATATCTGTTAAATATAAAGAGGAGTTTTAGTTAAAATCTTCAAGCACATCGGGACTGCATTGCAATAACGAATGATTTTTAATATTCTCCAAATTCAAACATTGCCTAGAGTTCAGAGGCAAATTCTTTATAACTTTAAAAACTCTGTTCAACATCTGCTCTTGCTTTTGGATTTCATAATAAAATTATAATTTATAACGCGAAAAAATAAATAATTTACAAGCAATATGTGCTTAAAAATAAAAAATCATTCAAAAAATATAATTCAAAAACTTCAAAAAATATTAAACAAAATCAATTTTTGAGCGAGTTAAAAACGAAAACAAAATACCACTGATATTTACTGAGAAAGACTAGGTTGAAAATATCAAATCTCATATTATTTTATAATCAACCCAATTTTTTGGGTTAGTACTCAAGCTCAACTCCGTAGCTTTGTAATTGTGAAACCAATCCAGAAGACAAGGGAACTCCTGGATCAAATATTGGGAAAAATTTGCTTTCGTAGAGGACTTTTTGATGGAACTAATCCGCATTTGCGTTATAATTAGAGGGAAACCACAAAAACCTCCCATTGTTAGCCTGATGGAAAGGTGAGCATAGCCCATGATTCGTCCACCACTGAGAATCGACAGAAAATCGAAATTATTATTTACCCCAAAAATTGATTATTTTTCTTTTATTCTAATACAATTCTAATAATTAAAGTTATCACAATCAGATCAATACAATGCTTTTCATTAGAATTTTGAAATTAAATTAGTTTTCATTTGAGCAACTTTTATGGTCTTAAAAATTTTCCTTTTGATTGTAGTTTATTAGTCCAAATTCGTAAAAGAATATGTTTCATTCTAAACACTGAACTCTTTACAGTAACAAGATCTTTCAAAACGAAAAGATTAAAATCTGATAGTCTCAAAAGTTGAGAACTAGATCAGAAACTTACAGCGACAGAGCACATCTTCACATAGAAAGCACCAAATGTACAATTTTTTTCCGATTTTCTTTAACTTATCTAAATGTCACTTTGGATTTTGATTTTTTTTTACAGAATTTCCGATTTTTTTTTATAACGCAAGCACAGTTAAATACAATAACTTTTTTGAAACAATCCAAGGAATTTTTATAGCTTATTTTTCTACAGAGGTAAAATGTATAAAAAAATGAAATAAGCTATATAAAATAAACTATAAAATAAACTTGCACTCCTGATCAGTCATAAAAATCATGCTAATGACTTGAAACAACGTTAAATCGGCTGCCAATTAAGTTTTACTAGTATATAGTAAGGTATATATAGTAAGAAAAAGTACTTTGACTACAAAAATATGATAAAATATTTTCTAATTATTCAAGTGCTAGTATGAATTTAAACTACACTCACTATTACCAAGTTTTAACTTAATAAGTTTATTAAAACTTGAAAAGAGAGAACAACAGAATTATAAACAAAACTTTGAATAAATAACTTTGAACAAAATAGTTTGAAGACTATTAATAAAATATGTTTTTTTTTTCTTTCTGCTTTCAGTTAGCAGCTTTCTTGCTGCAACTTGGAAAATTTGAGTTATATTTGGTGCCGAATTGCTCAGAATAAAACAGGTCATAACATTTATTTCTTTTAAAAAAACATTTTATTAGGAAAAACCTACATACCTTTTAGTTTTCTAATGAAATGTATGCTATTATTTGAAATACGATGCTATTATAAGGTGTGAACATTAAAACATGCCTGCAAAAAGCTCCAAAACACTATTGTCAGATAACTGAAACAATGCAACTATGGTATTATTATTCTATAGGCACGACAGCCCTTTGTGGGTCAGAGCGTTCCCTAGAACCTTCCTCCCTTCTGCTCTTTTCTTTGCGATAATTCTCCAGTTAGTATTTCTTAGGATTTTAAAACCCTCTTCCACACAGTCAAGCCATCTGATCTTATGCCTACCTCTAACTCTAGTTCCCGCAACTACAGTATTGTTTGATGAAAATAAAGATTTAAATATGGAGGTAAATTATCACAAATCGAATGTTTGAAAATGTAAACAAAAAGTACTTACCTTACGAATGCATTCCACCAATGGAGGTAACTTGATACCGATACGCAATCTGTCTTCCCGAATTGTATCAAGGATACAATGTTATTGATGTCACTAAACAATGAAGAACAGAATTGAAAGCAAGACATTGCTTCTTTCCCAGTGCTCCACACATTGAATATATCAATTTTGGCTGCATGCGTAATACTGAGAATGTCCTCTAAGATTGCAGAGGATTTAACACATTGTTCATTTTGTACACAAAACACCCTCAAACACTCAACATACAAGTCCTGATGAAGTCGATGCTTCGATGAGAGTCTCAAAAATCGTAGCATTTTCTCATTCAGCGCGCCGTTGCCATAAAAGAATGCATGTTTGACTGATTCAAACGCTTTCAAGTATAATTTTAACGCAGAAGACAGATACAGAGAGCAAAGATTTTCTTCGTGGTGGTCGATGAGCAGGCGACCGCACGATGTCAGTGCTTTGGGTAAGGACATTTTGGCGAGGATTTGCTTCAAGTTGTCAGTGGATAAACGTTCGGCGATATTTTTGAATTCAACGATGGATTCCATAGTGAAATACGTTTTTAGCTTTCCTGCAGAACGTAATAATGTTTCATATTTCTCGATTTCAGCTTCATCATTGTCGAAATAAGCTTTCTCATTTTCATGCCGGGAACAGGAAGTAATTTTACGGTTCTTCAACCGTTCTAATGCTTTAACAACGAGCAAAATATCCGCAGAATCTACCCTTATGTCACACATTGTTATCTACGAGATTTTCAGCGCGTTTCCTCGGAATCTTTTTTAAAAAAACAAACTGCCAGTTCAAAAAGGTGGAGTGTGACAATGTGATTGCGTATTAAAACTTTAACTGTAACCTTCATGCATGTTCGTAATTGAAACTTGCTGCAATGTTGGTGACCAAAAAATTAATTTTGAGAAGTTTTATACAGTCGACTTCCGATAAAACGATCCTGGGATATACAGTGAACACTCGTCTCTTTCGAAAATTTGTCATATTCATTATGTTTAGACTCAAACAGCGAACTCAGTAACCTCTGGATCAACTCGAAATACCACAAACGTTTTTCTTTCTGATCTTCCATTTAATAATATTTCTCTCAATCAGCTCCCAAACCGAAAATACTTTTGAATTTCGCTTCTCTGAAGTAGGTAGTTAGGGATTTCTTTTTTACGTTGCACTAGAAATGCACAATGAACTATTGGCGACTGTCTGGGAAGCATCCCTGAGGATGATCTGACGACATGTCATCGTAATTTTGATCCCCTGCAGAGCAGATGACTCCCCTGCTTTGATAGCCTGACGACCTGCGCGTAAAGTCGAGCACTTTACAATGAAGTAGTTTAACGAGGACCGATACCGCTCACCCTCGGTCCCTACGCAGGCTGATCAAAGTGGTCACCCACACCCTCACTGACCGTAGCCTGTGGCGCTTGACTTCGATGTTCTACTGAGAACCGTGTGTTTACGATCAGTTCACTGTGGGACCCGAAGTAATACAATTCAATTAAATGCAATTTGGAGCAGGGTCGAACTCGTGGCCTCTCCTTTGTGTGATCTGTCAGTCCCCACAGAATCTGTGAACCATCTCTTTGAATGCAAAAGGTTCGCTCTTCACAGACAAGCAAAGCGCGCCTCAATCATGCTGTTCCCAATTTCCCCTCACCGTCTATTCAGCTATGACCAGCACGAAAATCTTTTTAAGAAAAGTTAGTGTTCTTTTCAACCTACAAATCTCACATGTTCGCAAATACAAAATTTTATTTAATTTCATTGGTAGCCTCCGATAAAAATGTTTCCGTTAAAAGTTTTCCTCTGACGAATGTGTGTCTCTCCAAAAGTGTTTGAACCACTAAATTTTGATTTTGAGCTCTCAGAAAACTGCAAACTTTGCATCGAATTAGTCTTTCAGGATTATTTTGTAGACCAATTAAATTTCTTCTCCGCGTCAACCAAATAAATAAATAAATAAACCTAAATCCTTCATGGTTTAATTCAACAATAAATCTCTCAATCGGGCTGATGGCCAAGCGGTCAGCGTGCCTGACTATGAGGTCAATGTTTGCAGATTATAAATCCCGCTCAGAGGATTGATGCTTTCCCCTGTGTTGTTCTCCGTCGAACGCAAAATAAGAATTATAATGAATGATTTTCAACTAAAATTTTTTATAAAATGAAGCTATAAAATGAGGAAGAGTGTGTATGCTCTTCCTATTTGTATGATTTTGCTCAATATGCTTCATTGGCAATAAACTCATGGCTAGAACTGGGCTATGAATCGATGTATCGAGATATATCGATATAACGCATATATCGGCAAGACGATACAGCCACTTTCATTCAAGGCGATGCATCAGAAATCTGATTTAAGCCGTCGAGTAAAGGCAACGAGCGCAAAACGATATAGCGATATAAGACACGCAAGGTTATAAGATAACGATATAGCGATATAAGACTTCTCTTACGTTCCGATGTCGACTCGCGCTGTGGAAGACGATGTTCGTTTCGTTATGTTGAAATGGCCTTGATTGGTGAGCTGTAGAATCAGAATCAGAGTTTTGAGAACACATATCGTTATATCGCATGTTTCTTTTCGCACCTCTTAGCTTTTTTTTCTCTTTGTTGCGACTTTTCTTGTAGATTATTTTCAGTGGGACTAACTTCGTGATCGCCGATGTTACCTTGT